ATAATATTTTAATATAAACCAACATAACTCTTAAAATATGAATGGTCCTCTTTAAAACAAGAAAGCTATTCTCCAAAACTGCCTTGATATTTCAACTTGCAAAATACTTCACAGCTGAAATCTGTTTTGTTCTATTGTCTGAAAATGCCTTTGCAACAATCAGATAGTGAGAAGTGGCTCTTAATTCACGTAATGGCACATATCACCTGTCTCTCTGTCAATGAGACGTTTGAAAGCATCTTTTTATTAGAAACACAAATCAATATACCCAAGGGAGTAGAGTAACTGCTGGAGGCACTTTGTACTATCATTTCATCCTTGATGCTCTTGCTCTGAACAACTTATTATTATGAACGGCATGAAAATGGCAACCTGTCATGATTGATTTTTCTTAACCTCCTGTAAGAATTTTCCCCTCTTAAATGTAATCAAGTATCATCTTATTAAATATGTCTATGGCTAGGTTTTATAAAGCAGTCCGATACTCAAGTTGCAGCTCTTGTAATTTAAGCTTTCACCAAATATCACTGTAAAATTGTTTAGTAATAAAAACTTTTTTGACTTGTTTTTTGTTTTGTATTTTGATTTTGATTTGTATTTGGTGGGGGGAGGGGTTGTATTTGGTCCTGAACTCAGGACCTTGTGCTTGCTGTGCAGGTTTTCTATCATTTGAGTCATACCCCCAAACCTTTCTTACTTTTTAGTTGTTTTTTAGGTAGGTCTTGTGCTTTTTGCCCAGAGCCCAAGATCCTCCTCCCTATGGCTTCCAACACAGCTGGGTTCACAAGCACATGCCACAACACTGACCTTATTGAGATGGGGGTCTCACTAACTTGCTCCCCAGTCTGGCCTCTAACAGTGATCCTTCCAATTTCCACCTTCTGAGTAGCTGGGATTACAGGTGTGAGCCACCATCATAATTTGCTCTGGTGTCACTGTATGAGCTCTGGGCTGTGATTCCCTTCAACTACCTTCCTCCTGATACCCACCCCTGCCAACCTACAACTTCCCCTAACCTTGACCCCAATTCCCACAACATAAACCCCATCCCACTAACACTGCCCTTGCACCTGGATTCCTCCCTCCCCCCCCACACACCAACAAATACTCCACAAGTGTTTTTATTGTACCAGTATTTTCCTGACTGCTGGGTCTAAGCCACTTCTTTTATCCCAAGTGAGGTCCACAGCCTCATAGTTCCTGCTACCTCCTCCTAAAATGCCTTCTTCATTCAACCTTGTTTTCCTGGTCACTCTTCCTCTCTTAACCTCTGAAACACTGGCATTCTTTGGGATTCTGAGGCCCCCATGTATACTCTATAAAACCCATGAAAACTTCATTCTCTACATGCCACAGGCAGCTTCTAACACAGCTCGTTAGGTATGTCCAAGTCCCTGTCTCATCTTGCAGGGCTGGACTGGACCTTCTGGATCCCTTGAACTTAGCTGAGCTCATTTAACTGCTTGGACCCATGAAATGTGACCTATAGTGCTTATAGCAGAAGCCTTAAGAGTCAGTATGTACTGTGCCATTCCTTCATATCCCAGTGGTCATGAAAGTCTGCTTCCAAGATAGGTCTCTTAGGGAAGTGCCAGCCAGAATCAGACACGGGACACACGAAGACACTGCTGTAGTAAGCCTCGGCAATTTGGACTACTTACTATTGCAGCATGGCCATGCCTGTCCTGACTAGTAACCACTCCTCACTCATTCAAACACATGTATTTGCAGCTCAGACTACTCTGCTGACAACTCCAAGACCCAACCTTAGCTGCCCACTGTGTCAAGCAAGGTGCCACACTCTAGATGGCTGCAGAATTGAGTGCTCAGGATATGTTTGTCTCCCTGAAGAAATCGAATGAATTTCAGGTAAATAATCAGTTTTATTTGCACTTGGCTTCCCTCAAGTCCAAAAGCTACAGAAGTGCACTGAGGTATAGTCTTCAGAAACTAAACTGATGCTTCACAAACAGTCAACGATCATTTCAGTCTTCCCTTCTGTAGTTAGGGACAAAGATTGCATGTTCTTTCTCATTCCACATATATCAAAGTCAAAACATTCCCTGGGTAAGTCATGTTTGTTCCTTTATGCTCATAGTATAGCATACTTGAAATCCTTTTCCAAATTTTATTCTTATAAATCTAGCACTGAACACTTGAAAAGATTTCATTACATATCCAAATTTATATAATTCATTTTTCTTTTGAATTATTCTTCAATTTGCAAAAATGTTTAACCATCTAGCCTGAGAAATGCCTCCTAAGAGCCTCACTGTTAGTGTTCTGTCCCACAAAGCATGCTTTCCCTCACAACATCCTGAGGAGTTACACGGCCACAGTCCTACCACCCTTTCATGGGGGCTACCTTGTAGGCCCACAACCTCACACATTAAAAGTTTCAGAAAATACCCACCTTGTGCTAAGTGCTCCTCGGGTCTTAGCTGATTCTGCATGGAAGGGAGAGGAGGACCAACAGAGCAGGGCCAGCGGTTAAAAGAGCTCTTTTACAGCAGGCTGTGAAGCCCATAAGGGGCAGAAACAGAGTTCAATCAAGTCCTATAAAATTCCAATAATGCCATTCCTAACACCAAGGAAATGAAGAAGGCTATTTAAAAGATGGCAGAGAGTAAGAGGAGAGATTAAGGAAGAGGCAGAAGAGTAGCCACTGAGAATTTCTTGGCTATCTGGTGGTGTATAGCACGGTACCTTATATACACTAACCAGAACATATTTCTTGATTTGAAATGAAGGTTGAGTTGAAACACAATGACACTGAAAACATTCAGGTGAGGTATGGTACATGCCTGTAATCCCAGCTATTCCAGCAGTAGAAAAATAAGAACTGTGGTTCAAAGTCTGCCAAGGAGCACAAAAAAAAAAAAGGGAAGAAAGAAGTCAGTAAAGATCTTGCCTAAAAAACAAGCCAGTGTAATGGTGGAGGCCTGGAATCCCAGCAACTTGGGAGGCAAAAGCAGGAGGAGGATGGTCTGAGACTTGCCCAGGCAAAATTCTGAGACCCTATCTGAAAACTCACTAAAAAGCCAAAGGACTGAGGGTGTAGCTCAAGTGGCAGAGCACCGGTCTAGAAAAGGTACAAGTCTTGGGTTTAAACATCAGCAGTACAAAAGGGGAGGGAGGGATGTTATTTTCATAGAAAAATATTAAGAATTACATGTTACAGCTACTGAACACACGTTACATGGCAATTTCTATGAGCAATGCATGCATGAACTTATTCTCAACCATCACATGTGGGGACCACCTGCATTCACAGATAAGGAAAGTAAGATGTGGAAGGAGCTGATCAGCAGCAGAGCCTGGGTTCCTACCTGACAGCATCACTCAAGTGCCAGGACTCCTAACCGTGACCATCAACAAGAGGCCACTTCAATTTCTCTCAACCAAGACCCTGTGTGAAGAGCACAATGAGCCAAAAATAAAAGACACATAGAAGAGAAGTAATAAACTGGAGGACTTGTTTAAGAAAAAAAAGGACTCAACTGCACAGTAAAGTAAAACAACGATCATATTACAAAGCAATACAGCTTTGAAGAGTTCAAGCTTAATGCTTAAAGTTAAACTTACCCTCCGATATCATCATAGACATAAGAGTACAAGGTTGAGAAAAGCCCTTGAACGTGCACGTGCATCACTGAAGGAAAACCACCACTTCCCTGGACACATACATAAATGTGAACATGATTCTCAGTGTCAGTAGCTACTTTACTGATTTATTTTTAAATGATCTCAACTCTATTGTAGAATTAGTGACTTGGGAATATTTGATACTCAAGAGTAAAGTTGCAATATAAATCTAACAAGTTTCCCATTTTTATAATTAAAATTTATGCTGAAATAAGAGGCATATTGCATATTTTGAACTTTCAGAAATAGAGGCACCTGGAGGTGTGTGTGTGGCGGGGTACATCTGAGGGACCCACGCCAGGTGCATGTGTGTGGGGTACATGTATGAGGTGTGCATGTGTGCAGGAGGCATGTGAGGGACCCATGTTAGGTGCATGTGTGGTGGGGAGCTTATGAGGGACCCACGGCAGGTGTGTGCATGTAAGGAACCCATAGTGCCCACTCACAAAGCTGGCAGCAGGCGTGGGGTTGGTCTATTGTACCACATACAGGCCTGTGCACAGCACAGGTGATATTTCCCTAATTTTAAAAGGCTAAAATTATACTATTTTTTAAAAATAGTATTTAGTAAAAAAAAAAAAAACAGGAATGTATTTTGTCCTATATATATCTGTTCATTTCCATTGCTTTACAATAACATTTCCATCAAAAGACAACCCTCATATCATTTATCCACACAGGCATCAATTCATGTAAATATTGTTTGCTCTACTTAAATACACAGTTATATTTCAAATGTAAATGAATTAAAATTAACAGTAAGGAAGAGCTCATTAACTGCACATTAGAACACCATGTAAAATGAATATGTAGCAACTATTGAAAATTCATACTAACTTCGCTGTGATTTAACATAAACACATGTTGAATGCATAAGTAACAATTTTAGAAATATAATCAAATAGTAGTTTTTAAATTAACATTTCATCTCAATGTGCCTTTTGAAATGGAAATAAAACTGCTTTAACACTATAACTATGGTTATCAAGATAAATACTATTAAAATATTAATAGATCCTTTTATTTTAAAAATAAATCACCAACAGAAGTAAAGCAAATTATAAAGTAAATTGGAGCCCCACAATTAACCACCGAATTACAGGCAAATTACATATCTAACATTGAAAACTGAAAGCATATTTAAAACCCTGATTAAGCAAGAGAAGGTATTCTGGAAACGCTTCACTCTGAGAATGTTACACAAACACAGAGAACTCGTATCCCAAAGCACCATTTCTGAGTGTTTATGTGTTACATATTAAGCTACATGAATAAACTACTCAGCACTACACAGACTTTCTTACTGAAAGGAAAAAGCAAGTTCATTAAAGCAGTTGCTCCTTAATCTAGCCTACCTTATTTTTTGGATTGGATGTGTTCATTACACTTCGAGTCTCTTTTCCAGTATAAATGACAACACCTATTACAGTACCTGCAAAAACATGAAAGTGGTCCTTATAGAAATATTTCAAGGAAAGCAAAGAGAAAACACTTTCTAAATAACTGTCTTGATGGAAAATATACTACACTACTTGGCCTTATATACATTTATCCAACAGTCTATTTAATTTGAGTAGTTCAAGAAAACCTTGTGACTTTTAAAATGGACTCAGAAATAAGTGAAACAAATTATTTAACAATACAAATTTATCTATGTGTAACATCAGAAATGCACTAATATTCTTTCCTGACAACAGGAGGGACATGGACCTTTCACTGCCATCTTCTGAAACAGTTGAGTAATTCATGGAGAAGGGTTCCTGACCGGCAGAGGGGCACAGGGGCAGAACTCCGTCACTGAGTGAACGAGCACTGCTCAGGAAGGCGGGAAGCCTCCCTCAGCCTCAAAGCCATAGCAGAAAGGTTAGTGCAAAGGATGTGCAACTTTGCACACTTTGAAGCCACTCATCTTGATGAATGTCTCTGAAAGTTTGGTCTTCTTGAAGACTAAATTTTAAACTTAGTATAAGGGGATGACAAAATACCCCAACAATGACCCACAGGTTACAAAAAGTTCAGAGCACTCATCTCTAGACTGGCAAAATTAAAACCCATGGAATCTTTTCTATAAATACAGCCATGTACAATGTATACTCCTAACTCGTGTCCTGAGTTTTTGGCGGGGTGGGTACTTGGGTTTAAACTCAGGGTTTTGGGCTTGCTAGGCAAGTGTTCTATCGCTTGACTCATGTCCCTGGTCCTTTGTGCTTTGCTCTGTGTGTGTGTGTGTGTGTGTGTGTGTGTGTGTGTGTTGAGATACGGTCTCCTGTTTATGCCTGGGCTGGCCTAGCACCCCTAGGGCCCAACTTTTTATTGCTTGAGATAGGGAACTGTGAATTTTGCCTGGGGTGGCCTTGCACTGTGATCCCCCTAATGTCTACCTTCCAAGTAGCTAGGATTACAGGTGTGGGCTACCACACCTAAGAAAATATTTTTTTTCTATGTTGAAAGTGGTAAACACAAATTAAGAAAGACTATATAAGCATATATCTATATATAAACTGAAATTAACAACCCTGACAAAAAAATTATAAAAATTACACAGAACTTCTTTGCTAGGGAGACAGAAGCAGAAGGATCTCTATGCAGCCCTGCCTGGACTATATAGCAAGATTGTGTTGGGGAAAAAAAAAAACAAACAAACCCCACAGCAAGTCCAAGAAATGAGTATGCTCTGAGTCACGTCTCTAGCAGCTCAGGAAGTAGAAGGCCTGGTGCTCCTCAGCACAGGCTGCATCTGTTTCAACTGCTACCACTGAAAGGCTATGAGGCTTCAGTCTGCCGAGTTCTTGGAGGGCAGACTGTCCCTTGGGGCACGGAAGATCACCCAACTGCTCACATGCTGTCTACCTATTACGATCCACATGAACTTCCTAGGTAAGATGACGACACTTAGTGAGCAGGAAAATATTAAATACTTGATGATGTAATACTATGAAGAGCTTTAAAAAAAACTTACATCAAGGGCCATGCATGGTGGCCCACACCTGTAATCCTAGATACTTGGGAGGCAGAGATTGGGAGGATTGTGGTTCAAAGCCAGTGCAGGCAAATAGTTTGCAGGACCCCATCTTCAAAAATAAGCAAAACAAAATGGACTGGAGTTGTGGCTCAAGTAGCAGAGCTCCTGCTTTGTAAGCATGAAGTCCTAAGTTCAAACCCCAGGCCCACCAAAAAAAAAAAAGAGGAAGGCAAAATGTTAGATATGACCTGATCAATATTTTCTTCCTGTTTTGTCAATTTAACACAATGAAAATATAAAAGTGCCACTAAAATTGAATAATCAGAAAAACATAACAAGGAAAATTGCAAATGAACATGTCTGGTGAAGCCTTCATAATTAATCATGCTCACACCCTGGTCCTGAGAGCCAAGGCAGATCATGAACGAGGTGGCGTTGGGCGGGCACTGCAGGGTACAGTACCCAAATCGAGCATGAGAAGTGGCAAGAGTAAGAAGCACAGCACAGAGTGAGTGCCGAACACAACTCCTGATACCACAGCTATACAACCCACTAAGGTTTGCATGTGATGGTCACAAAAAATGACTACTCAGCATAATTAGCTTCAACGTACTGTTTTTCTGAGTCTTGTGCTTTTTAATTACTAAAAGCACTTGAGCCAGTATAGGAATACATGGGATATTTTCTATTCTCTTGGCTTTGTATATTTATAGTTAGTACATGTTAAAAGATTGAGAAAATCTTACATAAAGAAATGCAGGATTGGGGAGAATATGACTGAAGTACATTATATTCATGTATGAAAAAGATAACCCATTATTTTGCACAATTAAAAGAACGTGCTGAGACCAAACACATTTTTTTTTTCTTTCCGTGTTACTGGGCCTCCACCTAGAAACCACTCCACCAGCCCTTTTTTGTGATGGGTATTTTCAAGATAGGGTCTGGAGAACTATTTGCCCAGGCTGGCTTCCAATCATGATCCTCCTAATCTCTGCCTTCTGAGTACCCAGGATTATAGGTGCAAGCCACCAGGCATCCAGCCCAAACAGATTCTTATGTTATTCTTCACAAAGACAATACAGGAAAAGGACAAGTGGCCAATTTTGAAGCTAAGAACTGAGAAGGTAACAAGACATTACGTACTCTTGCATCACATCAGAAAATGAAGACCAAGTATCACAAATAAAGAATGTTTTAACATTTCCCCGTAAATGAAATTTTAAATGGGAAGATTCAAAATTTTAATCAGTATTTAAGTATAAAACTAAGCTACCCTCTCCCTGGCTCCAACCTGGGGAATTTCTATCATCAGAAAGACATAAATTCAGGAGCATATTACACCACAAAAAGAGTCCTAACAGGTAAGCATCATGTCTCAAAATCCATAGGGTGAAGGTGATACAATACATGTAATTCAATCAAAATTTTAGTTTAGTTTGTACCAAGAAAACATTTTTAAAGACCTGTAATCTCTTAATCTTGAAAGCCAATGATTGTGTTTGGCCCATATCTACATACTTCAAATTGAGTATAGATGGTTAAAATCAATGTAAAAAGATTCAGACACTGACTGTCACAAACAGGGGCCATATGTGTGACCTTTTTACTACTGACTAGATGACCAGGCCCTGAGATGGTGGGCCTGGGGTGGGGAGTGGGTGATGTCAGAAGGTCATTGCGGGGTTTACCATCATTACTTCAAGTTTCAGCTCTATCACATTTGCACCTGAGTGGGACAGTTGTTATTAACTATTACGTGATGCAGTAGGTAATGCTTGAGAAAATTTCACTCAAGATCTTACAAAACTTTTAATTAGCAGTGGAGCTGTATTTTAAGCAAGTAACTTTCATAATGCAAACTAAGAATAAAAATGCTAGAGAGGTCAACTCTATAAGGAAAAGAAAGTCTTTTTAAATATAATTATTTAACAAGTATGACCACAAAATGTAACTCAGCAAATCAAACTGACTACTCCCATTAATATTTTATCTTATTTCATTTCAGTTCTTTGAGACAGGGTCTCACTATATGATCTAAAACTTGCTATGTAGCCCAAGCTGGCCTCAAACTTGTGATCCTTTGGCCTCAGTCTTCTGAGTGCACTGGGATTACAGGCCTGAACCACCATGCTTGGCTCCTCAATATTTTAAATGATCAGCCTATTACAACACTTTTGATTGCTACCTTTTAACCACTGAGATGATATCATGTAGAATTTGCATATAATCTGCCAATGCTCAGAAATTCAGAATCATTTTAGATGATTCATAGAAATTAGACACATATGCAAAATATGTAGACCATTTTAACAAAATGAACAATGGCTTTCAACTACTTGATCCAAAACAGTGAAATGCTTGGTTAAAATGTACTCAAAAAAGTATGGATTTTATTTGTTATCTAAGATAGAGAAACTGTCAATCAAAGTATTTACTATCAGTGATGCCTCCAGAGGTTAAACATCATAGAAACAAGTTGTCAGGACACGAACACCAGTGAGGACTTGACTGCAACTGACGGATGCTCCCTGGTGCTGATCCTCACAAAGCAAGGGTTTACGCTGCTCCCTGACAGGGAGTTTTAACACCCTGGGTCTGCACAGACAGAGGATAGGGACAGTCTGTCACACTGGCCAGATCCCTGGTACATAGTGACATGAGGAACTTAACAACTAGATTAAGGTTAGGGACACAGAGCAACAGAGAGGACATACCCTGGCATCCACCTGTACCTAAACATGAACTCTACAAACCAGAGACACAGGGAGGGGCACATGAGAGCTGCACCCAGGTCTGGGGTCCACAAAGTGTGGACTTCAGCAAGCTCAGGATAGAATTCTGCTGTCCACCTCTCAAGCCCACACAGCATCCTCCAGGAAACAGGGTTTCAGCAGAAGCAGCAACCACTTTGTGTTTTGCCCATGATCTTGCATAGCTATTTTTAGTGTTCTCAAGCATTGCCCAGATGCTCTACCTCCAAGACCAGCTTGTCCCACAGCTCTTTGTGGGCAGGACCCTGAGGGGACTTCCTACTGGGACAGAAGTCTCTTTCCATTCCAATCCTAATTCTCACTGACCTTTAGCTACTGTAGGAATTTATCATTCTATATGTAAATAATGACCAGATTTCATTCTGAAAATTTTCTGTCATGACTGCTAATTTTGCAAAACATAATAAAAATGAATTGCCAAGAGAGAAAATCAAAACCAAGCACAAGAAAATACATGCCTCATTTTTCTCAGCATTAGTAAACTATGTTAAACTGCCATAAAAATTTCTAAATGCTTATTCTCAATTTATGCATTTACCACAGTGAGTATCAACTCCTGGAAGCCCCCATCTGTGCACACTGTACACCCTGCTCTGGAAGGCTTGGCTCCTGGAAGCCCCCTCTGTGCACATGTTTTCTCCCACTCTGCCTGGAGGGCTCTGCTTTCCTTCTATGCTCTTGCCAACAATTCTTTTTTCTTTTTTTTTCCAGGGGAGAGTGTGAACACAGTCCCCCACTACCACAAATTATGCAGTCAAGTTTCCCACATTTGGGGAAATCGCAGGGGTCAGCACATCCGAAGTGCAACGGATAAGCCTCGCCCTGGGAAAACCACTTTTGTGATCATGGTATCTTCCCTGCCAGGTAAGTATTGGCAACAATTCTTGAAAGAATGGTGTTCTCTGAGCAACAGATAGCTGATGCACAGGGCAGCATGGGAAGGCCTCCTCACTCTCCTTCTGGTCAACTGCAGCCCTGTGTGTCTGTCTGTATTTAACTTGAGTTCCCCTTCCACACATTCAGAACTCTGTGATGGGGGAGGAAAGCAGGAATTCACTTTATCTGAAGAACAACCTTGGGACTGGGGTGACTCAGTGGCAGAGTACTTGTCTATCGTGCAAGGCTCTGGGTTTGATACCCAGCATCACCAAAAAAAAAAAAAAAAAAAAAAGTGCCACCTTGATTTCACTTGAGATGTAACGTCAATGATTAAAAGACTCCACAATACTGTCAATTACAAAGAAAACAGGACCCTCAGGGTGCCTCTGCAAATGTCCATCTCCTTCTTGGCAGGCTTGGCAGGCTGCAGTAGACTCCAGTGGCCCTTTACATTTGTAAGTTTTTAAGTACAGAAACACGATTTCAAAGGCTTGAAATGAAAGAAGAAGTTTGCATTTTAGTTACTTTGCTGAGTGGATGGCCCTGTCTGAGAGGACAAGGGCTGCGGCATGGGGAATGTGCTGCATGTCTGAGTCAGTGTCTCCTGCCCCACACGCCAAGGTCATCCAGAGGACTGAGAAGGGAGGTGCATTCAGGAAGTCTGGCTAAGGTGCCTTCTGTCTCCTTGAGGAGAGAGGCCACAAGTCAACAGTGCTGGAGACTAATGACAACAGTGTAATACATGTTTCAAAAAGAAGCCAAGAACAACAGACCAAGTAAAACTTAATTCTTTAAAATGAATCATTTAATCTCTTTATGAGTGATCCTTGGTTAAAAACTAAAAATAATACATTAATGTCAGAAAACTTAAATTTCTGCCCAAACATAAACTTCTAGGTCTCACACTGCCAATGCTTTCTTATGAACTATTCCGACAGACCCATGAGGGCCACGGCTTTCCTGAAAGGACACCTGGACACAGTTTTGGGGGAAAGTACTGCAGGGTTCTGTATATGGGCATGACTAGAACCTCCTGGTGCAGTCCTTCATCCCAGGAGCAAGGCTACCAGTGACTTTACATCACCAAAGGGTGATACCTCAGCTACCCGTGGTTGCCAGCAGTGCAAAAGCACAATGGCAAGAAGTAAGACTGAGGGATGGTGAAGGCTTCCCTGGCTGTCATGTGGTCTTTCTCATCATATCATGAGCTGCCTAAGGACAGCTCCATTATCAACTCATTCCAGACAGGCGCACCAGTGCTGGAGAAGAGCAGACACTGCACTCAAACCCTCAAGAGAGTGAGCACCTTCTAGAACAGAGGGCTGCTAGCAATGGCCATACTAGAAAACAGGTCCTCTTGGGGATCTAACTATGTTCCTGTCATCGTCAGTGTCCTTGTGCTTGCTGGTCCCTGCTGCCAAGCTCCACTCCTGGTAACTTCACCAATGTCAACCTGCTTCCAATAAGGTGCTAATCACTTACATTTTCAATACATCCCATAGAAATTTACCTGCAAACCTGCCACTTTAAGTAGCCTTCCTTCTCAACCAGAGGAAATATTCTACAACCTCCCAATTTCCCTTAAAGAAAATTCAGATTCTTCCCCTACCCCTTAAGTCCTGGTAACCTATCTCTGGTGGCCTGCCTGGCCTCATCTAATTCTTTTCTCTCCCAGGCACCTGTTAGTCTCCTCCAGTCTTTGTCAGGTGAAGAGCCACCTAAAATTACCTCTCACCTCTCCAGATCTGCTGTGCCACCTCTCATGAAGGCACACAGTCACATGTGTCAAGACACAGGTGCTGTACTCTTCCATGAAGGCTGACCAACCCTGCCTGCTTGTGCCACAGGTGACCAGTAGCTTAGGCCTGGCCTCAGACTCTCAGGACTGTCCCATATCTATTGGACCAGCAGCCCGTAAGTGTCTCAGGGTCGTTTGAGAAGGCTGTTTGGAGTACCTAGACCTCCTCTATTTGTGGGAATTCACACATGCAGAAGAACTTCTTTCTTACCTGATGCAACAATGGTGCTTGCCCACAATGTGTTTTCTATGTTGAGACTTTCATGAATGGGAGGGTCACTGTCTTCCTGTTCAGGAGAGAAAAAGAAAACAAAACTGAAAATTAGCAATTGTTTTGTATTAGCCATGCTTTAGATACCTACAGTGTTCGAAAAGGAACGTGTTCACGTCCTGAGCTTAAATGAAAGGACCCAGCACTGAAAGGCACTGGAACTACATAAATAATAATTTTAAAATTTCACAGAAGCACTATATGCTCTGATACTTTAAGACAGTATGCTAAAATCATGTCTTCAAACATATGGTTTAACAACACTCGTGGATTAAGACTTGCTGTCCTGGAAAGGTGGACAATCTTAGCACAGACTTAACTACAAATAAACTCAACAATGTTCATTTCACGTGTATGGCAAAATTTTCTAGCCCTCCTTTTGTCAAGGACAAGACCTGTGCTTTGAAATGTGTATATGCTCATGAGAGAGAAACAAAACAAAACAAAAATGCTCCTGTGAATATCATTTCAATACATACAGAAGAAATAATTTTTCTTAATTTCTTCTTATAAAATGTTATTGTTTTGCTAGATATTTTTCATTAAACAAAACCTAAATATAAGCTGCATGCATACACATATTAAACACAGGCATAATCACACCACAGTAGTAATATGTAAAGTCTAGTTTTATCTTTACATTTTTTCATATTCATATCCAGAGACAAAATTATAGTTGCAATTTGAGGATTTTCATCCTAACCCTAAGTCATAACTCTACCTTTTGGTTATGGAGGCCTTACTAGAAAAAAGGACTACAAACCTATAGTCCAACATCTAGCAGTGGATATAAGAATTAATGATATGATGACAGCTGATGACCTCCCATGTTTTATACAAGCAAAAAGCCACACATTGTCCAGACTGCGTGCGATTCTCGCGTTTAAGATGATGGACTTCCACAGCAATTTTGTTTTGTTATAAATTGGTAATAAGCAATGAAGATATAATATAAGAATTACAAAGAAACCAAACGTAGGAAGGAAAAGAAGAGATTGAAAAAACATTATTTTCCGAGATAATTCATGTAAGAATAAAGGTGTGTGCTGTGGGTGTTTTCTTTTCCACCTCTTACCCCAAACCTTCGTTCAAAGAATATCCCATTTTCTGGCCATTTTCTTTGCAAACTTCTTAAGTACAAGATTTTCTCCTATGTCAAATGCCAAGAGAAAGGAAGGGCATTACAATATATCAAAATTTTATGATTTTTACACTGAACTGCATATAAAAGGTCTCTTCAATTTAGTTTTAGAAATTAAGTTGGTTCTGCCATTACTTCTCTATAATTATTTAATAATATAAATACTTTTTGTCTGTATCTGTACACAGATACATGCTGAAGAATGTACAATATCTGTGTTTTCATTTCGATAATCTGTAATAGTAAGAGAATTTAAACATTAAACATTTGTGTAATATCAAGAAAGTCATTCTAAAAGATAGTTCTTTACCAGTCTCATATAGTAAATCATAAAGATTGGGAAGATGGGAAAGAAATTATCTCTAAGTAACTTTCACTTTTTGATTCTCTTCACCCTAAAAGTATATAATTTAAAGAACTAAAATCTGCTTTTGGGGGGAGGGGATTACAAAATTATCTAATTCAAAGCTGTTTTCTCAGTACTATGAGTATTTTGATTGGAAAAGACATGATGAAGAGTGTGCTATGGTACAGTCAGAAAGAGTAAATAGGAGTAAGACAGCAAAGGACTCTGAAAAGTGCTATATATTTCAAAGTAAGCTAGTTTCAACCCCCAGTCTTCCAAGAGAATGACTACATACCAAACAAAACGTAAAGTCAGTGTCAGAAACAATAGTATAAGCCACATCTACCACACAGAACACTGCACAGCCCAGCTACCCTGACACTGTTTAGAATTACTCCATGCGCAGCTGTGCTAGATTCTGCCATGAAGCAAAATGGGCCCCATAGTAATTTGTTCCAATTCTTAGTATTCAAGCTGACTTCTTAAAAGATATAAATTTCTCCTTTATATTATACTGTAAAAATGAAAATATCACTTTTTAATAACATTCGGTTGATGAATTTCAATAACTTAAATGGATTTCATTTATAGTTACTAAGCCAAGTTATTCAACATATCTCCTACTTTCTTCCTATTTGAAAAATGCACACAAAATATTTTTCATTTTAAATAATTCAAAACTATAAAGTTGATATATTTAAAATGAGAAAAACAAAACCATTACAAATGCTGAACAAGAGCAATGAAAGGCCATTTATATGAATTATACTCATTCAGAACTTGGATAACTCATACAAGGTAAATGTATCTTTTTTTTTTTCAAATTCACTAAAATTTATTTTTTTTTTCATTTTTCTTTTATTATTCATATGTGCATACAAGGCTTGGTTCATTTCTCCCCCCTGCCCCCACCCCCTCCCTTACCACCACTCGCCCTCCCTCTCCCCCCCCAATACCCAGCAGAAACTATTTTGCCCTTATTTCTAATTTTGTTGTAGAGAGAGTATAAGCAATAATAGGAAGGAACAAGGGTTTTTGCTGGTTGAGATAAGGATAGCTATACAGGGCATTGACTCACATTGATTTCCTGTGCGTGGGTGTTACCTTCTAGGTTAATTCTTTTTGATCTAACCTTTTCTCTAGTACCTGTTCCCCTTTTCCTATTGGCCTCAGTTGCTTTAAGGTATCTGCTTTAGTTTCTCTGCGTTAAGGGCAACAAATGCTAGCTAATTTTTTAGGTGTCTTACCTATCCTCACCCCTTCCTTGTGTGCTCTCGCTTTTATCATGTGCTCAAAGTCCAGTCCCCTTGTTGTGTTTGCCCTTGATCTAATGTCCACATATGAGGGAGAACATACGATTTTTGGTTTTTTGAGCCAGGCTAACCTCACTCAGAATGATGTTCTCCAATTCCATCCATTTACCAGCGAATGATAACATTTCGTTCTTCTTCATGGCTGCATAAAATTCCATTGTGTATAGATACCACATTTTCTTAATCCATTCGTCAGTGGTGGGGCATAAATGTATCTTAAATTAAAGCCCTTCAGTAAGTTTCTATGGTTTAGTGTGAGTCCGGCCTCCCACAGAATTCCACAAGCTCCACCCCCCCCTTTGTGTCTATGTGTACCACAAGCAGCATATTCACCTCTGTTCTGGTATGCACCTGCTTGCCACCACTCTGGGTGAGGAAGAAGGCCTGAGGGGAAGACATGGTGACAGACCTCTTGGAAAACTGGGCCTGCTCCCATGCCCCCTCTCATTGATGAGGTATTTTTACCTGTGTGTGCCTCATGGTAGACCTCCTCAGTATTGGCTCTCATGGAGCAAAAAGGGAAAGAAAAAACATTTTTTGGCGTGTCCACACATTTCTTATTCCTCCTATGAACCCTGAAAGACTGGGAGGAGAGACCACCCATCAAGTAGTGAAGTTGTCAGCATAGACAGCTAGGTAGACAAGAGCAGCATCCAGAAAACAAATGCCTCAAGCTACAAGATTCTACTCCCTTTTCCTGGTAGCCAAACTATAAAACCCTAGATGGCCTATACCCTGGAACAGTGATTAATAATTACTTTATATCCTCCTTATGCAGCATACTCCCCACATCAAGAACATGCACCTTGAGGGTAGTAATGACTTCCCCTGTCAGTGCTAAACCTAAACCTGGAAGAGCAAAACGAATCAAATGCACAAACACCTGCCCCATCTTCTCAAATGCACAGGTTATGACTTCCCACACCTAGGCAGCCACTGTGTACTTGCCAAACTCCCATTTAGGGAGGCGCACAAGGGGTGGGCCCTACTTTTAGTCCACCTGATAACCCCACCCACCCTATTGGGCAGTAAAAACCCCAAGGTAACTTTTACACAATGAACCCCTATCCAAACTTCCCACCTCATATCTGCAGGTATACTTCCACTTTGCTAACAAGTCATTCCTTGCTATCATCCTACTCTGTGGTTCTTTTGCTGCACTTTGTGGTGTCTTAATCTTAAAGTTGTACTGGAAGAAATGAAGAACATGGCATTCACCAGTATCAAAACCAGAGTGAAGGAGGCTGCTTGTGTCTAAGTGTCTTAGTCTGTTTTCCACTGCTATAACAGAACCCCACTGAGTAGGTAATTTACAAATAATAAAAATTATTCGGTTCATGGTTCTGGGAGCTAAGAGCCCAAGGCTCATGGCACGTCTGGAGAGCGTCTTCTTGCTTCGTCTGACAAAGCAGAAGGCAAGAGCACGTATGACTGGAGGGGTGGAGCCACATTCTTTCTTGGGTCAGAAACCCACTCCCTGTGACAACTGAACTACTTCCACAATGGCGACCTTCATCCATCATGAGGATCTAGTCACCTCTTCAAGGTGCCACCTCCCAACACAGCTGTAGCGAGGATCTGGTTTCCAGCACATGATCTTCAGAAACACATTCAGCTTGGAGCACTGAGATTTATGTACATTGTGCCGCTTCTTCCTCGGGCCTGAGAAAGTGCAGCATGTTGTGGTGATACATGAAAATTTAGAAATTCCTGAGTATACCCTTTGCTATTAAGCAAAGCTGTCTTAAGGAGGAGATTTAGAATGTACACAATTTCCAGTAAAGACTGAAAGGGTGAGTATTAGCAAGTGACTGGTCTTTGTTCTTATAACTACAATCAGATCAAATGTAGGCCAAGTCAGAGGCAACCTCATTACTACCTGCGAAATTTGCATCATGAAACATAAAGTCAGTCCTCCATATCCTCAAGCTCTTCACATGTGGATTTGGCCAAACTGGGATGAAAAACCTTCAGGAGAAAAGTCCAGAAAGGTCTGAAAACGAAACTTGGATCTTCCAGGGTCCAAGCACTACAGTGAATCCATGTGAATGAGATATGAGTGTTCACTGCTGGGCCCCACGTCCACCATGGATGACTGCATCTGTACTGAACAAATATCGACTCCATTTTCTTGTCCTCCTTCCCTAAACAATGTATCAACTATCTACATAGCATTTGCACTGAGTTGGGTACTGTAAGTAACTGAGAGATGATTA